TTTATCTTCCAGTCTGTGGGACCCCAGGTTCTATGTAATTTGACAGCTTGGTACCATCAGCTTTCTTCACCGCATTTGCTTATGTACCCGCTTGAAGACAATGGGTGCACAAGCAAATGTGGTAAGGAAAGCTGATGGTGCCCAGCTACCAAAAGATATAGTACCTGAAGCCTTGAAAACCTGAAGATAAACAAGCAGCCATCTAGCTGAGAGACAACAAAACCCACATGGAAGAAGCACACCAGCCTGTGCCTACTCGATCGCTGAGGACAAAGGGGCTGCATTAGCAAAAGTGGTGAAGAAAGCAGATGGTGCCCAGCTATCAAATGATACTGCATCTGGGGTCTTAAAGGCTTGAACACTGTATTTCTTAAATAAAGGACTAAAACATTTTCAATATTTGTTTTGTTCCACATGAATCACTTTTTTCCTTACATAATGTGGTGGTTACAAAGACAAATAAGACTGAAGTAGAATTTTCTGTGAGGAAAAGTAGGCACTTTATTGCCCGTTGTTATTAACTTACAAATGAAACAGAGATTCCATGAAGCCCTAAGCTCAGTAGCCATTTGTTTGAATCCCATATTAAGCAAAGGATCAGGCAGTTGCACTGAACCAGTGATTACAATGGAACTGTGATTAAGAAGTGCCCCATTCAAAGGAAAGCTAAATAAATATGAAATTAATTCTGGAATGCAATTCATTGTGAGAATACAATTTATTTCTTAATGAAGCGTAGCAATCTATAGGAGATAAAACCAGTGGCTGATAAAATATAAAACTCAGAGAAAATGTAAATCACTATTTTGAAAGACCTTTTTCTTCCTCAGATGATTTAAAAGACAACTTATTTTCTTGTATTGTATCCCTCTTTTGCCAGCAGTTAGGAAAATCATGATTACTGAGTAGAAAAGAAGGCAATTAACTCCAGAGGTTAGTTGTGGCATCAGTACTCATAATGTCTGCAATTAACTATTTTATGGGAGAGCCAATAGAGGTCTAATAATGTACATAAGGGACCAGTTAATGTAAAAGAAAATTTACTTTAAAATATTTATTTATTTTTACTCACCTTCAATACTGTTTATACCCTAAGAGTCTATTCCAACACAAAGAGATCCCGTGTGTTATAGACTTCCCTTTGAGCCAGTTCTTTTCAATTTGAGCTCCTTGCTGAGAATTTGAATTTCTAACCTCTTTTGTAAACTGAATCAGCATAGACATTTTAACCAGACCCTGGGGTGATTCTTATGCATCAGTAAGAATCTTGTTAAATGCTGGTTTTGATTTAGTGTATCTGAGGTAGAAGTGCAGAAACTGGGAGAGCCATATGACCCAATCCAAAGCCCTGGCTGCAGAGTAAAGCTGTGCTCCAGAGGGTTTCTTAAATGTCATCCTCAAAGAAATGTGGGCCTTTCATCTTCTACCTCAGATGCTCTAGCTCAGAAGCAACATTTAATAAGAGCCACTGTGGCATACATAGTAGGTTATGCATTGGGCTGTTTACCACAAGTTAGGCAAATGGAATCCACCAGCCAACTGCTCTGCGGGGGAAAGATGAGTCTTTCGACTGTAAGAATATACAGTCGGAAGTACAAAGGGCAGTGAGTGGACTCAATGGTAGTGACTTTTTTGAGGCCTTTCATTCTGACCACTGATTGCTGGGCTGGAATCATCAACCTTTAGACTAACAGTCTCCTAAGATACCTTTGTACCACCTACGGATCGCTTACAATGCAGTAAGTGATTCAAAATAGCAATAATTCTATTGACTCATCTAGGAATGTGATGATAGTAGCAGGAATAAAGTCAGAAAAATAAATTTAGTTTGCTTCCTGCGGAGGCGGTACTAAAGACGTCTGTAGAAACACAGGAAGTTTGTGTTTGAAGGCATCAAACTGATCAAGGTCAGAGTATCAGAGGATTTTCCTGAGAGACTCTGATACAGAAGAATAAACAAACAGAATATAAGGTAAATGTGTGCATACATATACACAGTATATACAGATGATAAATCATTTGAAATATGAAAGTGTATTCAACTTTTGTATAAATACAAACGAAGCAACAATGAGATGGCTTGTTTAGATAATATTATTAGCAAAATATCAGGTAAGCTTTAAGGAACTTTTAGTGTCCTAGTATTGAATAAGATATAGTAACAGAGGCTCTCTTTTTATACTGATTTAATCTCTCTGGAAAGTTATTTGTTAATATTTCCGAACATTTGCAAACCGTTTTATAAAGGTACATGAGTGCGCTATGAATTTTCAATATTTAAAGTATAAATTTGACATATATGTATACAATTATGATAGTATTACCACAATCATGATAACGAATATTTATTACCCAATTGCAATCCTCACTGCATCTACTTCTTCATCTCTTTGTCGAGCACTAGCATACTTTCTGACATTATAAATTAATATGTATTTTCTACAATTTTACTATATGAAATTATTCCATGTATATATGCTTTTGCCTTTAGTAGTGTGTATCTATAAATCATTTTCCTTTAATGGAGAGTAATATTTCACAGACAGCTGGGTTACATGTGTTTGGAGGCAATTTTATTTACCAAAAAAAAGCTGCTGTGAACATTAATTGTACAACTCTGTACACATATACATAGTTTTAAGGTGTAATTCTTTCTAAGTTTTGCTATATGACTTTTGTCTGTTTCACTATGTTGAGTTTTTCATGGATCTGTTTGATCTTATTCTACCTGCAGCTCATTTATAGTTCAAAGAGTTTCCTACTAAATGGATTGATTAATGTATTTCCTTAAAGTTTGAGGACTCTTTGGACACCGCTTATTCAATTCCTTTTTCTTTCCCCCTTTCCTCTCGTTTCGCCTCTGTTGCTAACATGACTCGAATGATGTCCTACCAATCGACGTGGCTTTACCCAATAGGTCATGTAGGTTCTACTCCTTTTCTTCATTCACTTGACTTCTTGTTCCTCGGATTCCTAAATCTAAGAGACACAATTCCACACCCCGTGGTTCTTATTGCTCTTTAGTCTCTAGTGACTTTCAATTACAGCTGTGTACATTTGAACTACCACGTTTCTGCTTGTCTCCTTTTTGTATTATAAATACTCCTTCGTTGATATTTAATACCACCCATCTGAGAGTTTGTGATACTGTGGTAACTTGTGTGTTGCTGTGATGTTGGAAGCTATGTCCCAGGCTTTACAAATACTAGATAATCCAAAAATGGTTGAAGCGGTATATCAACAGGGAGTTTTCAAAACTGCAACTTGGATTCCAAAAAGGATGTCACACCAGTGGTACTATTGCTAATATCAGATGTATCTTGGCTGAGAGCAGAGAATATCAGAAACTGTTCACACGTGCTTTATTGAATATGCAGAGACATATGACTGGGTGAATTATAATGAATTCTAGATAACATTGTGAAAATGGAGATTCCAGAACACTCGATTGTTTTCATGGGGAACCATCACAGTATAAGAGCAATCACTCAAATACGGCCAGGGTACACTACCAGGTTTATTTTGAGATAGGTTTTAATCAGGATTTTATTCTTTCATCATGCTTATTCAATCTGTATGCTGAGCACCTAACCCAAGAAGCTGTGGTGCACGAAGAATGTAGGTTGGAAGTGAAGAAAACTTGAAGTACTTACTGATAAATTCAAATCTATATTCTTCAATATAGATTTACCACCATATAAAGAATATAAAAAGCCTCACAACTGAACCTATAAGCAACATCATTACCAATGCAGATAATATAGAATGTGTCCAGAAATTAACTTTGCTTAGATCTACAATCAATGCACAGAGATGTAGCAGTCAAATGATCAAATGATGAACTGATTTGGGCAAAATCTGCTGCAAAAGATTTCTAAGATGGTAGGGCAGGATCAAGGGGAACGTAACAAAGAGGAAGTGCTGAAATCCTGGTGGGGAATGAGCATGATAGTGGGACAGGAGGAGAATCAATGGAAATAGAGGAAAAAGCTGGGAGGCAAAGGGTATTTATAGAGCTCTAGA